TGCAACGAATTTCATCAGCTTCTAATTAACTATTATTAACACGAATTAAAAGTAATTGAACAAGTAAATCGAGTATAGCAGCTTGAAAATCACTTTCATTTGTATTAATATATTTTTTAAGACTAATTTTTTAGTTTAATAAAAACTAAAATAGAAAACAAAAAAACAGACAGAATAGATCAAATTCATTTTTTTGTTTATTTTACTCTCGTATTGCACTATTTATACTTGATACAGAACATGAACCAAATAAAATAAATTATCGATTGTCGAATATTTATTGTATGAACATAAGTTAAAGAATTATTTAATGATACTTGTGAAGAAACAGTTGAAGATTTAATAAAAACTAAATTAAAAGAATATTTTTAAATGAATGTTGTGTTAACAGAAAAAATGATTTTCAAATTTCGAATTGATAGCGTTTCTTGCAGATCGCTCACGTCAACTAGATGATTTAATATTCGAATTTCAAGATAGAACCGAATCAAAAGATCTGACACTTTCACAACAAAACTACTCTTGTTAAGACCGTCGATATTCGTAAAATCAGTTTTTCTGTTACTATGACATTTTTATATTGAAATTTTCCTTCTCTAGGAAAGACCCTTTCAGAAACCTTCATTATAAGATTTCCATTTAAAGTTTTATCCATAGACAAGTTTCAGACACAATACAACATCCTAAAGGTTTTAGCTAAACCAATAAATAAAGAAGATTAATAATTGAAATTTTCTTTACAATAAATATTTACTATTTAAAAGAAGTTACCTTTTGTGTATATTGAATGCTGATTTAAAATAATTAAGTGTTTCTCTTCCAAATTTTTTTGATAAATCTTGTGTAAACATAAGACTTAAAACTGATTTCATAGATAATAATAATCATTTCTGATGAATTTAATAAACTTTTATGTAATTGATAAGATGAACGTATTAATTCGAATAATTTCCAAAAGTACCTAATTGTGTACGATTAACTTTTTTATCTTTGTCTGTATTTGATGTTGTTGATGAATCTTTTTCATTCTATTTAAAAAGAGAAAACAAATGAATTCCTTTAGATAAGACATGATCAAATATATTCTTCAAATCTAAAACTTTGGAACTCTCTTCTTCTGTGAAAACTGAAATATCAACTATATTCTGTCCAAAAGAATGATGATAAAATAGTTCAATTTTTCGAATTACTTGAATCATTTGTGCTACTTTCAAAACATTTTTTCATTTGTTGAGATTTGATAAATCTTCAAATAAAAAGAAAGAATTCAAAAAAAAACATAATAAATATCTTTTTTTTCTCTTTACTTGAAAAGATTAAATTATTAAAATCATGTAATATAAAGGGATGTTTAAAAAAAAACTATAAATAAACGAAGTTCATCATATTGATTATGAAAAAATTGGTCGAATTCTTGTTGGTCTTAAAACATTTGAAAGAACATAAATATCTTTTAAACATTCAACCTATATAAAAGACAAACATGACAAACAATTTGTATTCGAGTTGATGCTTGAGCTTGTAATGAATGATGAATTTTATATATCCATTGACATGGTAAAAATGAATTGTGATCAACAAACCTTAAAATCAAAAAGTAGCTAATAACTAACTTAATGCAATAAAATCGACTTATTCATTCAAATTCGAAAAAAGCTAGGTAGTTATTATCTCTACAAAATGCATACTTAGCAAAAGTCGAAGCAATTGCTTGACGAACACGTATATCAGGGTACTGTTGTTTTAATTGTTGTTGTTGTTCAAGATAAGTTAATATTCGAAAATCAATATCATCTATAAATTGAGCTAGACTAACCTATTTTATAAACATACAAAAAAAATTATTATAATCATAAATTTCTTTTATCTACTTTAGCAAGAATACAGGAACTTGTAGTATGTTGAATAGAATCTTTTAATAATTTAATTTCTATGATTGTAAATGCATAACTATTAATTAATAAAAAAAGGTAATAATGTTCGTAAAGCATTTAATGAAACATGTATAACACGTGCATTATTATCATTAAGACATATAATCTTGAACTGTCTTGTGAATCAGTTGATACAAGTGAACATTGACTAATAAAAGAATTATTAAATGAATTTGATAATAATGATAGTGTTAAAAGATGATTTGTTGTTTGAATTAATGTAACAAGTAAATTTGCACATGCACCACGTAAATGTAGATCACTGTGTTCACATAAAGATAAAAGATATGTAATATCTTAAAGACAAGAAAAAAAAGATACCTTGATGTTCGATAAATTTTAATGTATTTCAAGTCATATAG